CTCCAATATTTGATGTTTTACTTTTTTTTTGAAGGTCATTTCTATCTTTTCAATGAGTAGGGTTTGTATAAATAATACTATATCCTTCACCAAAGTGGCCAACCCACAAATATCTTTCCGAGTGCTGTCCTCTGAAGATGCTGGCCACAGAGACTGGCGAAACATTAGGAAGAACAACCTTCAGAACACGGCCAAAGAGCCCGAAAAACCCACAACAACTATCTTTCCGAAGTTTCTACTATTTTATCAACAAACCAAATCCACAATCATAAACCTCCCCTAGGTTCTTCCTCCCATCTTTACACAGATGTTATAATATATAAATTAACTTTTAGCCCAATAATTTAAAATACAACCATGGCAAAAATATCCCTTTTTCTCCAGAAACCTAACAAAGTTCTATTATCAGTGTCCCACACAGTCTAGGAAGAAAAGCCCAGGAATTTCAGTCTCTTAAATCCTGTCCAGTGGTATTTCACTCTGGGATTTTTTTCAAGAAATTAAAAAAAATCTGTCTCACTGTCTCTCTTTCGGCCTTGAACCACCCTTCTGTCTAAGAGTCAGTTTCACTTTTGAAGAAGCAGGCTGGTAAGCAAAACTCGCCTTCTTTCTGCCAAATATTTTCACTCTGATGTTTCAGCTTAATGGGACTGTTCATAACTCAAAGGCTTCAATGTATTTTGTTGTTATATATTTTCAATGCCATATTGCTTGTTCTCCTCTCCTCCAGGGGGGAGGGGTTACTCACAGCTCTCTGCCAAAGATGGCTCCTGCATCCGATCTGTGCTCGAATTCTTCAGAGGGAAGAAATACCGGGTTGCTGCTAAATCTTCCTCCTTCTGTTGCTCACCAACTGCTTCAGAGAGACTCCTCCTAGTCTCTCCTTTAATCCCTCATTTCTAAAGGGACCCCAGACTGGGTGGTTCCAGCTCTTCCCGGGAGCTCTTCCCAGAAGCTGCTAGTAGCACCGCAATGAAGCCCCACCTCCACTTATTGATTACAATTCTAATAAAGGCGGTTTCATGCATTCAACAAATTCACACCACAAACATACTCACCAAAGAGAGAAGAAATCTTTATTTGCATCATCCAAGTTCCAAATAGTTAGTTCCAAAAGCCTTTTGGTCTCAGCAGACAAATTATGGTTGCCCAGACACCTCCTTGTATATTCTTTTTACGCAGGTTGCTAGCTGGACATGCACATTAGATTTTCTTTGTTTCCCCTTAGATATATGGTCCTTACCACTTACTGTGAAGGATGGAATGCTTAATATGTCTTCCATCACTTAGTGGACAGGTGTGGAATCTGCTTGCTGAAGAGGATCCTCATACCAGGGTTTTCTTAATCCCCTTTGCTCTACTCCCTCAGCAGCAGATGTTTTTGTCAACTTACTGAAAGCATAGTTCAAAAAGTTCACAGTTCAATAGTTGAATTTCTTACTATGAGGGCTTATAGCCAGGAATACAAAGTCTCATAGTTCCTCTGGGTTTTGTTGGTCTCCATCTTTGTGTCCTAACTCTCTGATTCTTCACCTTATCCAGGCCAAACATGCACACACCTTATATACTCTGGTACTCCCAGGAGGGATAATTCTACATTCTGTCTATTTTTTTTCCTTTTAATTGACAATATCATTACAAAATGCATTAACAAAAATTAGCAGCAAGAAAAACTAACCTGCCAGGTACATTCAAACAAGGTACCAAATATTATAGTATGTTACTGTCCACAAGCACATGTTCAGGTACATTCAAACAAGGTATCAAATATAGTATGTTACTGTCCACAAGCACATGTCATCCCAAGTAACTACAATAATTCCAAAAGTAATCATGGCCCACCACCATATAGATGCTTACACTTTATCCAAGCTCTGAACCTTTTCTGCCCCAAGTGAGAAAGCAAGTGAGAAGGACATTCAGAGCTGGAGGAAAGGTTGCCACAAATGTCCGATATGGCTGTCAACAACCGTTTGTGCATTGTGAACCAGTTGGGGAATAATTATCTGGAAATTCGGCACACACAAATGTTCTTGAATTAAAATCCCACAAGGAAGTGATTCTGGATCCTAGAGGCCATCAACTCCTTGTTCAGAGAGGGAGTGGTCCCCACCCCATTAAAGGAGGCAATGATTCACCCACTCCTTTAAAAAGCCTAATCTGGACCCAGATCTAGTGATTAATTATCGACCAGTGGTGAACCTCCCTTTTCTGGGCAAGGTGCTGGAAAGTGTGGTGACTGAGCAGCTCCAGGCTCTCCTGGATGAAATGGATTATCTAGATCCATTTCAATTGGGTTTCAGGCCAGGTTATGGGACGCAGACTGCCTTGGTCACCCTGTTTGACAACCTTTGCCAGAAGAGAGACAGGGGGAATGAGTCCCTGTTGATTCTTCTGGACTTCTCAGTGGCTTTCAACACCATCAGCCAAGGGGTCCTTCTGGACAGATTGGCTGGGATGGGAATGGGAGGCACCGTTTTACGGTGGTTCTGCTCCTACCTGGTTGATCAGGTCCCACCTGTAACTGCTGGGGGACAGCTACTCTAATCCATGGCAGTTGCATCATGGGGTTGATCAGGTCCCGAAGGCAGGGACCTGTAACTGTTGGGGGACAGCAACTCTAATCCATGGCAGTTGCATCATGGGGTTCTTCAGGGTTCTATACTGTCCCCAATACTATTCAATATCTACATGAAGCAGCTGGGGGAGGTCGTTAGGAAGTTTGGGCTGAGGAGTCAGCAATTTGCTAACGACACCCAGCTCTAACTCTCATTCTCTATCAATCCAGGTGAAGCAGTCACCATTCTGAACTCATGCCTGGACTCGATAATGGACTGGATGAGGTTCAATAAACTGAGGCTCAATCCAGACAAGTTGGAAGTGCTGCAGGTAGATGCTCCACCAGATAGGTTAAAGGGCTATTTCCCTGCCCTAGATGGGGTTGTGCTCCCCCTAAAGAACAGGGTCCGCAGCCTGGGGGTGCTCCTTGACCCAGGTCTGATCTCGGAAGCCCAGGTGGACTCAGTGTCCAGGGGTTCCTTCTTACACCTGTAGAGAATATATCAACTTCGCCCTTATGGATGAGTAGAGCCTGACAACAGTCACACATGCATTGGTAATGACCAGACTGGACTGTTGCAATGCACTATACATGGGGCAGCCTTTGAAGACAGTCCGGCAACTGCAACTGACACAGAACCAGGCTGCACAGCTGGTAAGTGGTACCGCTGCATGGACTCCTATCATGTTGATTCTGAAAAATTTACACTTGCTGCTGGTTGCTGCTCAGGCCCAATTCAAAGTGCTTACTTTAACATATAAAGCCCTCAACGGCTTAGGACCTGGTTACCGAAAGGACTGCCTTCTTCCATACAAGCATACGGGTCCTCTAAGATCAGGCCAGGAGGCCCTTCTGAAGGTGCCATCCCTGAAAGAGGTGAGGGGAGTGGCATGTAAAAATAGGGCCTTCTCGACTGTTGCCCCCCAAATTTGGAACATCCTTCCTATAGAGATCCACCTGGCTCCAACACTTTTGGCTTTTTGGCGCCACACAAAGACTTCTCAGTTTAGCCAGCATTTTAATTAAATAGTATTCTTTAGCTGGATATGAGTAGCAGGATGTATTAATGACAAATTGACTGTTTTAACATTTAATAATCCCGCCAACCTAGTGGTTCGAAAGCACTGTATTGAATTTACCCTTGAAATATCAAATGCATGCTGTTTGTTAAACTATTGATTTTTCTCTTAGTTGAATTTGTTGCTATGCTTTATGAGATTTTTTTTTCAAATGTGAGTCACTAAAAGAAAGTGGCATGCTAATAAATTTTTAAAAAATCAAGTATACAGTACGTAGACTAATTCTGGATACAACTTCAAGTTATTCAAGCAGACACAGAATCTTTGTGAGGTTAGGCTGACATTAGAAGTTGCACAAATCTCTTTGTCATGATGTGTAATAAGTTTAAAAGTGATCACAATATTAACTATTTCCACTTTTGATCAGAGTACTTTGTATGTTTAAGTACGGTATACCTCAAGTGTCCATCATACAAACCATACCCACACAGTGACACTACCATAATGATCTTTTATGATGATCTATCTCTCCAGGGGTTATTGGATTTGCTGATGAGACCTTAGTGCCATGCTACATTAAAACTGTAGAACCTTGGTACTGAAATATGCCATGATTAGGTCAGGAACAGTACAACTTCCCTCACATGCAATCAAATGCCTGCACGAGTGAGAAGTTATACTGTTCTACACAACCCATACAACAAATTTCACATTAAAAGTAAGCTCTGTTAATCTCCTCTTATACAATGGAATGACTTCTATGCTGTTTCCTATATTACAGTTCCTAAGGTTGAAATGAATCCAAGCAGTATACATACATTCTCATCTAAAAAGACAGCACTGGCATTTTGTGAACCTTGACATTCTCGAGACAGAACATTCTCAACACAAAGAAGGAGGAGGAGACAACAATTTTGTTAAAAAGTGCATACATATTTGCACTAGATTTATCATGACAGCTTTGCTGAAAATGTTGCCACTGTACACTGAGTAAGAGCACTATAATACACAGGTTATTCTGCTATAATGTTTGTACTTCTATTGAACCAGTTGTTTCAAGACAATAGTGCATATTACATAAATTTAAATAGATTTCTCTTAACAAAATAGCATGCATCTTTTAAAAGCATCAACTGTAAGTCAGGTTTTTGAGAGACAAACTAAGGAAGAACACAGGTATGAATCCAAGAATGACAGATAGGAAGTTCTAAAAATGCCGTAAAATGGCAGAACTTGACTTTAGGTAAAATATGAATTGATGCAACTTAATTTTCAATGTCCAGTTCTTAATGCATACAGGAAGTCCTCTAACACTGTAATGGGGAATGCCTTTCAGTTATGAAGCCAACTTTCTAATCATTAATTAAGCCCAAAGCAAATTGCATAGCAAAGCAGATTCTTCTTAAGACTGGAAGCCCAAAGCAAATTGCCTAGCAAAGCAGATTCTTCTTAAGACTGGAAAAGAGCCAACAAAAAGAACTGGAAGATGTTCTATGTGGGTCAACACTCATGTTTTCTTGACCAGGAAAGGGGGAAGAGTAGGCCAAGTTGGTTCTTAGCTCAGTCAAGATCACCAAATGCTATGGATGACTAAAACCAAACACAAGCACTGATGATTACTCCTTAAGTTCATGGTCCCTGAAATCATCAGCCTTAGTGGAGTAGGCCAGCTTGGTTTCAGCTCAGGACCAACCAAATGCTATGGCTAGCCACAACCAAAGAAAAACTTGGTTTCAGCTCAGTCAGGACCAACCCAATGCTATGGCTAGCCACAACCAAAGAAAACACTTGATGGTGGACTGTCCTGTTTTCAGGTGGCCTAGCTTTAGCAATGGGGTCAGCTGATACAAAATCAACCAAGGAAAGTCACAGCCAGTAAAGTCAGGGGAAGAGTATTCAATCAAGTCCAATAAACAAAGCTAGGGTCAAGACAGAAAAAAATTCTGTCTAATGCGTCACTAAGATGAGTGTGGGGAGCTGAAGTCAAACTCCTGTATCAGCCCAGACAAAGCTAAGAAAAGAGGGGTTTCAGGAATCCAGGGAACTGAGGATTACTTAGAAAGAAAGATATTGTCTTCAGCCCCTACAAGCTTTTTAATATACAAGTCACCAGCCCTGTCTAAGGCACACCTGTAGCAGTTCAGAGGTTTCCAAGAATTCTCCTCACATGGACTTCTCAACCCTTGAGGATTCCTCTGCTCCAATGGAGCACTTCTAGCCAACACAATCCTGCTGTTAAGGTTCTGTCACACCACGGATATGGAGATGGATGTAATTCTCCTGCAGAACTCTCTCATCATCTTAGAACTGCAGAGCTGGAAAGGTCCTATGGATATTTGAGTCCAATCACTGTCAAGGAGGCACAGTGGGGAATCGAACTCCCAGCCTTGGGCTCCTCAACCAGAGTCCTAAACCACGGACCTACCCAGCAGTTCATCCCTCAGGGAGCCTCAGTTTCCACCAGTTCCAGAGGATGGATACTTCCTGAAAGAATTGGGTTATTATCTGAGGAAAACCACTCCATCCAGGATTTGACACAGACTCTCCATGTGTATGGTCCCTGAAATTAGCAGCCTGGAGGAGGTCTGCAACATTGTGAACATAGTGTATTCTTGTGTTGTCTGAGTAGAGACAGAAGGTCTACTATTTATATAAAGCTTTTGCAACAACCAAGTATAGTTCAAGGCACGACCATTCCCAGTTGAGCACAAGGGTCCAATGAATTAGTCATTACGTTAGCTTCCCAGTGAAGCGTGCCCAGAAAGTTGAGATGTGAACAAAGCAAGGTGCCTCTTGGAGTTCTTTGAAGCAAAGGTATGATCACAGAATTTTACTTCAATGTTCCCTTCACTGAAGGCTTCTCTTCTGCTCCCCTCTGAGACTGGCTCCTTTGTACAGAGACCTTCCTTCTTCTGTGTCATTGCAATTCCCATATTTCCGCATCTGGATGAGGGTATGTTTTCTTTAATAATGCAAAAACAAATCGCAGATAGGAAGTTTTTCTTGAAGTTTTCATTCATGAAAGCATACACAAAAGGGTTGCAAATGGAATTGGAAAATCCAATCACCTGTACTATGCCAAAGATCATCTTAATGGTGACATCATCATATTCTCTTTCAAAACTACCTAGAGAGAAAAAAAATATACATTAAACTTGGCAAAGATAGATTTTATTATGCTTTATTTATCTCTATTTCAACCTTTGGCCATCCTGTACAGAAGCCAATGACCTATTTATACCAATTATCCATTTCAGACCAGAAAAAAATACTAATTTTATCAACAACCAGACTGAATTAAGCAGTCAAAGGAGTATCTGTACTGTACTAAGAACTATAACATTAACATTATATTCCTGGGGGGGGGAATCATATGGATGACATGAGGGATCACAATGATCATGTCTGTAAAGATACATACAAATTCCTGCCAAAGAAAACAACCCTGCACTTAAAGCAGTGATGGGAACTGGGAACATCTGAGAACTGGAAAATTATATGGATGATTCTCTAAGATCACCTTCATGCCATCACTCTGTTTCCATTTCTTTAAAAGCCCAGCTCAAAACTTCATAAACATTTTCATTTATGTTTTTCTAAGCTGTTTACTAAATGAGCAGTTTCCTCTGATGTATGCATTTTGCTATAATTTTCCCAATGTACAGATTTTTGTACATAGTTTCTTATGTAGAACCCCCCCTTTTTTTCAAGGTCTACAACTCATAATGCAGGATATTAACTGTCTTTGGTTATATGTTAGTTCAGGAAATATGAATTATGTGAGAGCACATTAAAATACCAAACAAATCACTTTATCCTTTATCCCAATGCACAGCAATCTGGTTCAGACCTAAATTTATTTATTTCATTGCCTCTGAAGTTCTTAAATATGTCAGCCGTTTTATAAAATGTAGTGTTGTAGTACCATATGAGAATTTGCTTCTCTCTCTAGTTTTACCGTATTTTTCAGTGTATGCGACCCCCAATGTATAAGACGACCCCCTAATTTTGCCCCTTGCCAGAGGTGGTGGAGCAGTCAATGGGCAACTGTGAAGGGCGGCCCAGTGCGGCTGCTCCTCTGCCTCAATCTCCTGCTGCTGCTGCATCCACCGCCCGATCGCCTCCTCCAGTGTGACTGCTGGGATCCCCTCCAGCTCCCGTCACCACCTTGTCCCCTGCTCAAAGGGAGCCCGCGAGTGGTGATGGAGGAAGCAATCTGGCAGCAGAGGCAGCAGGAGGAGGAGGAGGAGACGGAGGCAAAGGATCGGCTGTGCTTAGCTGCCTCTTGCTGCTGCCCATTGACTGCGATTTGTCAGTGGAGGCAGCAGGAGAAGGAGGCGGAGGCGGAGGCAAAGGATCAGCTGTGCTTAGCTGCCTCTTGCTCCTGCCCATTGACTGCTGCTGCCACCGCCAGATCGCCTCCTCCAGCGCCATCCGCAGGCTCTCTTCGGGCAGGGGACAAAGTGGTGACGTGAGCTGGAGGTCAGCCCTGGCAGTTGCACTGGAGGAGGCAATCGGTCAGCAGTGGCAGCAGTCAATGGGCAGCCATGAGAGGCGGCCAAGCGTGGCTGATCCTTTGCCTCCGCCTCCTTCCGTGTATAAAACCCTCAATTTTTCCTCTAATGATTTTAGGAAAAAGTGTCATTTTATACACGGAAAAACAGGGTAATTCTTTGACAATAACAGATCACCAGTACATTTGCAAAGGAACAAACTACTCACTGTATTCTATCATCATGTGCATTACATGAAAAGGAGCCCAGCAGATAGCAAATAAAACCACAACTGTCACCATCATAATGATTGCTCGCTTCTTTTTTCTGAAACAAAGGGCAGAACCTATGTTGAGAATTTCTCTACAAATAAACAGACAGAAATATCTGGAGGGAATGCAGATTATGTGGATGAGGAAGGCTATTACTCTATTTTTAAATATATGCTTTGTGTGTAGAATGGTCCATCTTGGCATTTCCAGCTAAATACTCTTCAATAAAAGAGAGCTTGTCCAGACTTGTCATTTTGGGTGCAGGGTGGATCAGGCTAAAAAGGTTCGGGGGGGGGAGTGATGTGCCATTTGGCATGCTCTTCCCATTCCAAAAACCAATGAGCCTTTGTGGCCTGATCAGCTACTAATTAAGCACTTTCCCTGACCCTCTGTGGGTACTTTTCACATTGTTCCTCTCTGTGTCTCTCTCTGTCCCCTCCTTGCCCCCTTCTCTTCTTTTCACCCCCACTCTCACTCAGAATCTGCAGCCCTGATAATGAAGTTGCTGTATGGTGCTGTCTTCCAGCTAAACACAGCATGCCAAAAAGAATGCATGTCCTACCACTAGGGCCAGAATGGTGCATGACAGCTCTTAAAAGGCAAGAACGGCTCGATCTAAATATAAACACAAGTGGACAGAGTTATTTTTCCAATCTAAACTGTGCCCTCAATGATCCATAGATCATATTTCGACAGCTCTTAAAAGGCAAGAACGGCTCAATCTAAATACAAGTGGACAGACTTATTTTTCCAATCTAAAATGTGCCCTCAATGATCCATAGATCATATTTATATGCTAGTGTCGACAGACTCTCTCACTGGAAAACAACTGCCCCTTACAAAGCTGCTGCCAGCATGAATATTCAATGGCTGAAATCCTGTTGCTTAATGTAGTACGTTGTACCTAGAGCAGGCCCACTTGAATCAACAGAACGTATAAAGGAATTGATTCACCAAATCCCCATTGATTCAGTGGTTCTGCTGCAGTATGACTTACTAAATTAAACAATAGAATTCCAGCCAGTTAACTGTGACAATAAAACAAATTGTACACACCGTGATATTTTAGACATCTCATTCCCGTGAATGGTTTGCAAAACAGAAGCATCTCCAACTCTTTTCTTAACCCAGAGCTCATAGCCAATCTTACTGTACAGCAAGAGCATCAGCATCAGTGGGAGAAGGAAGAGGATGACCAAAATGAAAGTGGTATATATCTTCTGGTGAATAGGACTGGCCCATTCTTCCAGGCAGCAAACATACTCTTTTTCAAAAAGGAAATCATATTTAATCTGGAACAAATTAAGCAGAAGTCACATTTAGTACAGATGAAGCTTTCTCTGTGAACAGAGTCATTAAGAAAAAGTAGACATCATTTCATCAAAGATATGCAAATGTTTAATTTTAGGCAATACTTAAGTAAATTCTCTAGGTCATCAGGCAAAAGGAACTTTTGCTAGCCATGCATTGCTGCCCAAGATCCTTTATCTTTTCGCACTGTGTATGCACACAGGGCTCTTTGTTCGTTACGAATACAAAGCAATGCACTTCTGATATTACATGAACAGTTAAAACAACATTCTGTAAGCCAATACAAAAGTGTGGGGGGGGTTAGCCTCCTGGTAACTTTTAAACCAGGTTTCAGATCAATAGAGAACTTGTTGGACATACAGACTGCCCTTCACTCTGTTAAAGCTCAGCAACTTTTTTCCTCCTAGCAACACAGGCAAGATAGTGCAAGCCAATGTTTCCTGGCATTTTGAATTGACAACAATGTGTTGTCAGGTCAATTCTGACTTATGTCAACCTTTTCCAGGTAGTGAATGCATATAATTGGTTTACCATTCCCTTCTTCTTGGGGGCATCCTGGATTGTGCAGCTTGCTCAAGACCACACAGGTTGGCTCTACTTGCAAAGGAGGCACAGTGGGAAATTGAACTCAACTTCTGGCACTGCAGCCAGATAACTAAACCACTGAGCTATCTAGCCAGCTCTTTTGAATTGTGGGTACAAATGCAATATCACACATTCATAAACTGAAGCTTTTTTTGAAGGAGTAAGTTAAACCATTGTGTGAACAAGATGTGGGATGGTGCATGGAACCGATTCATTCCTGCATCCCTCCTCTGACAGATAGGCTGACCAATACAGCACAGATAACAAGATATCTGTGAAGATTCTCAGTCATTCAGGTGAGGTTATATGGAAGTTAAGTCATGGCAACTGGACTTCTTCCTTGTTAGGTTAAACCATTTTGCTACTCATCTAAGTAGCTTCTTTAGTCTGAGGAGAGTTGATAGGAGATTCCTGATATATCTTCCACATTGGTTTCACTTCCTTCTGGCCTGAGTAGGCTCATTAGAAGGACAAAGGACTTGAGGTAATCTCACTTCTGCAGTCCTTCCCCACCCATTGTCATGGGTTGTTAATAGTTGTCTTTCTGGTGTGTGTTCAGATCTCATTTGTTTACTTGATCATAGGCCAAGCAATGTGGGAGGCAAGAGGCTGTGTTGCCAACCTGCAGCTGTCTCACATGTGATTTTAGAAGCCAGGATTCTTGGCTTGTGTTGTCGCCATTATGTACTATAAAGTCACCTCCACTTTATGGTGACGGTATGAATGAGTGACTTCTAAAAGGTCCTGTTTTTAACTGCTCTTCTCTTGCAAACTCAAGAATGTGGGGACACTGGATCAAATTTGGGATGGTGGTGGTTCAGAGATGCTAGGGAGCAAATTGGATCCTGGATGGGTGCATGTTGCCCATCTTTGATACTGGCAGGCTAGTGGGGAATTATTTTCAAATGTCTCCCAATGAAATCAGTAAGATGTCTTGGAAAAACATATCTTTTCCAAAAATGAGGGATAACTATAACAAAAATGTGCAGTATATAACTCCCCAAAAGCTATACTATACACCTCCACTGCACAGCTACAATACCAATTTTTCTGAAGTCGCTGTCTAAGTAATATTTGAACTCATTTAACCTTGTACCTTTCCATGGTTTACTGTATTCCCCTCCTAAGCAGTAGGCATCATAACTAGCTTACATTATCAACTTCATCATTACCATCTGTACCTCTAGCCGTTGTACATGCCACATAGGTGCCCCAACAATAGCTGCCAGCAACCAGACTATGCCTGGAAATGGACAAAGGAGTGATGTTGGTTTTTAAGAATAGCAACATAGGAAATTAAAACAATTACATTTTTTGCTTTAATGAACAATGTGCTCATTTATTATAATGTGGTTTTAATGTGAACTACCCAGACAATGAGTGCCTTATGGCCATATAGGATACTTGGGTTAGATGACAGACATTGCAACAAATATTTTAATATATGAAAGATAAGCAGCAAGATCAGGATTAATTGTGAAATATGGATCTCACCCATCAGGCAAATTCAGAAAAAATAGCTATACTAATTTTAAAGAAAAATAAATAGGAAGTCTCAAGTCTAAATCATAAGAACAAGTAATACTAAGGAATTAAGAAAATTTATCTGGTGTTCTTATCCTATGTCATTAATTGCAAAATAAACAAAAATCATCTTCACCTAAGTTCTGAATTTTTAAAAGGCAGTATTTAAGATCCCATATCACCTACCAACATAAATATATAACAAATGTTAGGCAAGATCTGGCTTCCTTTGGATGCAACAGAGAATGTCAAGGTATAGGACTTATCCACTGTGGATATAGTGCTGGTGGACCCATGCATGGCAAAAGCAACAGAGAATGTCAAGGTATAGTGCTGGTGGACCCATGCATGGCAAAAACATCTTTGTTTGTTTTTTAAGTGTCACTCAATTCCTATGTCCAGCAACAGATGAAGTCCAAAAGTGTAAAGCGTGGGTTATATTGAGTACCCTATTATTTATATTCATTCAAAGTGTGTTAATTCTTAAAGCAATTTTCTTAAGCTCAACTTTTAGATACCAGCAGTCTCTTCCTGTTAAGCAGCTTTCTCTTGACATGGTACTTTCATCACTACAGCCCCATAGCTTTCCAGCTGGTTCTGGACTGGATGTTATGAAAGTCATGGTCCAATAAACGTGGAAGACTTATAATGCAGAACGGTGGATGATCTATTTTCTTAATTGATCTATTTTTAGGTTGTGTTTTAGAAGCTTAATACTTTTTTCATTTTATATTTTAGTTCTGATTGTTCTTTTTAATTGAAAGCCGCCTTGAGTTCCATTCATGAGGGAAACAATAATAATAATCGTATGTCATCAAGTCAGTTATGACTTATAGTGACCATTTCCAGGGTTTTCTCTGAAAGCCGCCTTGAGTTCCATTCATCAGGGAAACAATAATAATCATATGTCATCAAGTCAGTTCTGACTTATAGTAACCATTTCCAGGGTTTTCTTGGTAGAGAATACTCAGTAGTGGTTTACCATTCCCTTCTTCTGGGGGCACCCTGGGATTGTGCAGCTTGCCCAAAAGCAAGATATAAATCAAATAAATGACGAATAATAAGAAACGTTTTGTATCCAAAACGACAAAAAATGGTATATGACAAAACCTCGAAGATGCCTAGCATCTTACCAAGCATTGTGTATGCTCTCCTGTTGGTGTACTGCCATTTCATTTTGAGGGGGTGGACAATCCCATTATGCCTTTCAACAGCAATGCAGGTCATTGTAAGAATCTCAGTAACTATCGCAGTGGACTGGACAAATGGTACCATCTTGCATGCAAAGGCACCTGTGAAGGAATGAAACAAAAAAGAAAAACACGAAGTGTCAGTACAGTCTTAGTACCCATAGTGGTACGTTCAATCAATTACATGCTGTCAAATGGATTCCAACGTACAGACACCCTTTTCAGAGTTTTCTTGGTATAAAGTTCTCAGAAGTGGTTTACCATTCCCTTCTCTGGGGGTGTTTTGGGGCAGCATAGCTTGCCCAAGGCTACATAGGCCAGCTCTTCTCCCGAAATTACCCACTGTGCAAGAAGCACAGTGGAAAATCACGCGCATGACCTCTGGCATACCCACCCAAGTTGATATCACAGGGGGTAAAAATTACAGAGTAACGCAAACCCTATCTTTTTCATTCAGTGCCTTGTCTTTGCAGCATTTTTAAAAATAAAGGTGAAATACAAGATGAAATGCCACTTTCATCTTGACTTTCTTACTGTTGAAACTCAAGTGGCAGCTCAGCAGTGCAGCATTACTTCTGAGTGGAAAGAATTTACAGTCTTGGAAAAAAAAAATTTGTGATTCAAGCCTTGTACTCTCTGAGACTGAATTCAACAGAACTGTTGAAAAAATTAACAATCTTGCATGCAGTCTGACATGGGGTTTCAGTGGGAAGAATGAAGGCCTCAGAGACGGAGTATTTCACCTCTGTTGGAAGGAAAATCTAGCTGAATTACTGTATTCCAGTTCAGCCTCATAAGGGCATTCTTTCCTGTGGCAGTCATGGAGGTGCACTCCAATCAGGTCCTTCCACTATTCTCATAGCGCCAGGGAAGGTGTGAAAAGAAGCTGTAACTGTGTTTGGCTGTGGTTACAGGAGGTCATATGATCATGTGGAGTTCTAACATCATGAACCCTAAATAATTCAGATGAACACTGGAATAGGTCTTTACTGGTGGTGGACATGCATGTAAGCCCCACCCCCACATACTTCCACCCAGATGTCATTCATAGTTTTAAGTGATGATCAAGAAGGTATGCAGAGAAGCCTGGAAGCATGTTGACTAAAAGCACTTATTGATAAAGCTGCAGATAAGGAAGGTGTTCCAATCACAGTGTTATTTATGTAAAAGTCTAAGTGATTCCATCTGCACGATGGAGATGTTGGTGCATATTGTCACTCCAGCCACAAATTTAATCTTATCCACACAGAGGACAATGTTAAGCCAAACATAGTTAAAGCCCCTTTTCATAACTTTCTCTGACAACATGGGGAGATCTGGAGTGGATGAGAGGCCAGTGTGCACGTCCTTGGCTCCCTCTACTAAAGGTCCTAGAAAGAATATTGGAATATTTTGTATATGTTTCCTTCATAAAGATTGTTGCTATCACTGTGTCTATTTAACATGTTGAACTGAAAATAGACTTGTTATATAGAAAAGTAGATGCTAAATATCCCCTGTTAAAGCATACCTTTCAGAATATCGCTTCAGCTCTTTTGAAAGCCCTTTTTCATTCCTGTGAATCTTTGCCATCTTATTTTACAAAGAAAATGCTAGTAATACTAAAAGACTTGGCTGTAGCCTGAAGATGTTGAATTTATTTTATTTTATGTGGTACAAAATGCTTTCCTTTATCCAGCCTACTCTTTCTCGCTTGATCAACAGCATCTTGATTGTTTCCACTAAGAGCGAGTCTCAGCTTTATTTACAACAACTAAAAGACAACCATATTTTTTGCGGTCTCAACCACTTCAATTCAAGGAAAATGACAGCAAATAACATTACGGTGTGCAATTGCAATCTTTTCAAGGCATACATTTAACAAGGAAGTTTCCAGGCTCAAGATCTCCACACAATAGTAATCCTTAATAATAATAACAATAATGTGCTGGCAAGTCAATTCTGACTTAGGTTGACCTTTTCCAGTATTTTCTAGGTAGAGAATACACAGAAGTGATCTACCATTCTCTTTTTCTGGGGCCATCCAGCCATGAGTTCCACCCATCTCCCCAATTTTTGCCCTAACATTTGCTTCTCACCCCAGTACCGCCATCACAAACGTCCCCAGCCACCACTGCCCGTCTCACGAGTAAACAGGTAGGCTTACTTGTGAGTAAATCATGTGCACACACACAAGAAAATAGACAATCCAAAGACTTAGGCGGACCCTTCTCACAGAGAATAAATTTCTCCATTGTGAACAGAAGGATTGTTCAAATGAGAGATAACATAGATCACACTGAAGAAAGGAACCTTTTAAGTGTGAACCAGACCACTCCAAAATCCCTTGTCTGGACAGGTCCTTCATTAATTTTAACCGTTGTTTTAATTATTTTGTCAAGACTAGAGTTACAGCTTGTGTACAGGTCAGAGGCTGTTTCACACACATACTTCAGATGATATCCTGGACACTTACAAACATAACATCTACAGGGGAGTTTTCTACTTTGTTGTGTGGCATCTTACCAATGACCTGCCCAGTTAACTAGAACTAAGAGGTGAAAGAAAAATCAACATCGATGCTTCTACATCTTCTGCATGTCACATTTTGTACATTGAAAGCTTGCATGAATTCTTTGATTTTTAATCAATCCTTTGATTTTTAATAAAAGTGTCACATTCGTCTACAATTTTATATTGTGTAATGATCACACAGCTTCTCTTTGGACTTTTTTCCAAAATAGTAGTACTAAGTAAAGATGGCAACTGGTCTGAAACCTACAAGGAACAATTGAAAATGGACAGATGTTTAAATTGGAGAAAAGAAGACTGAGGGAAGATAGCTGTCTTCAAGCATCTGAAAGTATGTCTTATAGAGCAGCGTTCCGTTGCTCCAGAGGGCAGAACTAAAGGAGAACTGGCCTTACCACCAGGCAGATACAGAGCTTTGAAAAATTACTTTTTAGATTACAACTCTCCTAGCGAGTATGACCAGATGCAATCCAGAAAAATTACTTTTCCAAGTTCTGATATTATATACAATAAACCATATATCTTCTTAGATGTTACTTACAACATCTTATCTAATTACCTGTAAAGATACAGCATTATAAAGCAGTTTTTCAGAATACAGTGATTCTTCTGATGAGAAAAAAAAATCATTTTACATTATTAAGATAAGTTTTCTGATGCTTGCAAGTGTTTTTACAAGGTACTAAAGCTAATGGGTGTAAGCTACTAAATGGTAAACACCCTTGTGATGGGAGCTGTAGTCCAAAACACTCAAAAGCCATTGGATGGCCCACAATTTTTTAGTAATAAAAAAGCCCAGCTTTTTTAAATGTGTTAAACACATTTGCTTCTAAGGGAAAAACCAAAAACCACTATAGTCTTACATAATAGCACAAAGGCCAAAGGGATCTTAGACTAGCTACATTCCTGGTGACTTTCTCTGTGTCCCATTGCAAGTTGCTAGTTATTTAAATAGTGCCAGTGACATTTTTGTATTACAGTATCTGATTTAGAAGGGTTAATTTCATTAAATATTTGATCCTAAACCTTGTTTCCTTGGTACCAAACAGCTACATTTCAAAACCTTGTTTTGCTTTCTGTGTGAACTGGTATTTTAAGAGGATGGGAAGGGGAAAAAAGGAAGATTAAAACTGCTCTCATTTAAGTTCAGTTCATTAAGCTCTGGTTATTAATTCCGGAAGGTCATTCATTCACTATGGCTGGTTTGAAATGGATGCCATTTGTATCCATTAAATGTAAGGGTAAGAATGTTTATAAAATGGTCTAATTTGAGGGCAAGAAACAAGCCAATTATCGAGGTGTAGATGGAATAGTTAGAAATCTTGCCATGGTTGCTAAGACGATGCTGATCTCTCATTCGGTAGAAAGGTCTAGGACTGCAAAGATTTTGCTGCAGTAAGATTTTGCTATTTCTTTTTCACCATGGAAAAGTAAATAGAGGGCCAACTCCCATTCCTAGATGTCATGGTCATATGCAAAACTGCCCTCCTATTGGGACACGTCTACATAAAACCCACCCACACAGACCATTACCTACACAAAAACTCCAAACACCACCCATGACAAAAAAGAGGCATAATCAAAACACTGGTAGACCGGGCAAATCAGAACTGTGAAGCTCAATTTCTCAGCACCAAACTCAACCACCTGAATTGGGCCCTACAGGCAAATGGCCATTCCAAGAATGAAATCACAAGAGCCATCAAACCAAGCAAACAACACCAAACTGAAGAAGAAAAACAGCCACCCACAAATAAAGTATTTCTGCCATACATCAAAGGAGTCACGGACCGCATGGGGAAATGTTTCAAAAAACACAACCTACAAACAGTATTCAGGCCCACCACAAAAATACAACAAATATTACGGTCAGCAAAGGACAAAAGGGACCCCCTCACCACTGCAGGAGTATACCAGATACCTTGCAGTTTTGGCCAGGTACTGTATATACTGGAACCACAAAATGCAGCATTCACACCAGAATCAAAGAACATGAGCGACACTGCAGACTAAAACAACCGGAAAAATTAGCAGAAGCTGAACATGCCCTAAAACAAGCTGGACATGAAATTTTATTTCAAAATACTGAAATACTGGACAATACCAGCAAGCATTATCTTACACTGCACAGGGAAGCCATTGAAATCCACAAACACCAGCAGAGCTTCAACAAAGAAGAGGAAAGTTTAAAACTCAAAGCCTGAGTCCCAGGACTCTAAAATACAACCTGCAAAAGATCAACAAGCTCTACCCAGCCAGAAGGACCAGTGATCGCTGCACACAAGAGACAAGCTAATGACACTCATCAATCACAGTGACACATCATCTCCCCCCCATCACAATAATATACACTCACAACAAAAACACGCTGATCGCCATAATCATCCAATCTCCTGAAAAGGACAAAAGCTGATCCCACAGCTATAAATACTCAACTATCCAACAAACTGCAACAGAGCACAAACAGAGTTCTGACTCTTGTCCTCTGAAGATGCTGGCCACAGAGACTGGTGAAACATCAAGAAGAAAAACCTTAAGAACAAGGCCAAACAGTCTGGAAAACCCACAACAACTATTGGATCCTGGCATGA